AACGTGTCTTGATTAAGACACGCCATAATGCATTTTATAACGATGCATAAATGTAAGCTATTATTTCACTCTTCTAATTAATGAATTTGTTATTTAATTAGCCATTGCAATTCCTTCCCTGTGAAATATGAATGCAAATGTGAGTTTACTCGCAAATGATATATATTCTATTGTAAAAGAATAACTGATTACATGATTTTATTTGTATATTATTTTGTCTGACTCGCTGTGTTTAATTAAGAAATTTACTAATTAAAGTAAGAGTTGTGGATAAACACCATTCATTCGTCTCTAAGGGTAATCTTTTGATAATATTGTACTGTCTTTGTTATCCAAGATGAGAGGCTTACAAATGATTGTGAAAACCAATCATAAACAGTAGCGCTAGTCAAGAACTTTAAGATTAATTCAAATACCTAGATATATATTGAATGTGTATAAAAATACATATTCTACATGTACCACTAGCCGTCCACCACTGGGTCGCGGATTCGAGGCCTACGTGGGGCAGTCGCCAGTTACTGCCGTAGGTCGGGGATTTTTCTCCGGGAACTCCGGCTTCCCTCCACCACCAAAACCTGGCACGTTCCTAATTGACCATAGCTGTTAAAAGCACGTAAAACACAAACAAACCAAACCAAATGTATTCAAAAGCATATTCTAACAAACATCAGTCCCCTGTCATCGATAATGTAAGTTATAGTATTTCAAACATCAATCAGGAACCGGTATTTTATTTCATAGATTCTGAATGCTGCGCGTGCTTTGTTTATTCGCTTCCAGTGAAATGTAACAATGGTTTCATCATCAGAGGAAACCTATACAACTTGGTATGTACAGTATATATACAGGCTGATGTTTACCTTATATACGACACACAAACATTGTACCGGTGTTACTCTATGAAAGGGAAGTCATTTAAAGCATTATAGGCATCGAACATAGCGTAGTTTCAAATGTATTTGCCTTTCGCCTTTTGTCTTTGTGACATTTCCATTACTTTACTGCCATTATCGGTATTTCATCCGTATCACATTACTTATTTGTATAGTCAGAGCGATTTTACGAGGGATAAAATATTGTTCAAAAATTAGGTCTAAAAAATACTGCTGGGCTGTTATTAAGTTTTCCGTGCATTCTCTCGCCATACCCGTTTCATGTTATTCAAAACATTATGTTTTGAAATTAAACAAACAAGAATGTTCTTGTTTTTTATTCGGTTACGTTACATGATTGAAATGTGTATACTCGAATACATATTGCTTATTTATATGTACAGTGTACGAGAATCAATGTCGTACGCAAATTCAGTTTGTTTTAGCTAAAATCTTACAGTATATGATATTTAAAATGTTCATAGGTGATAGAAAGCCTGTTCTCTTAATCTTGTGCGTATATGACATAACTTTTCAGTGCAAGAAAGTGGTGAAATAGTTTCGATCTTGCACCCAATTTCATGTGCGTGACCTCACAATTGGACAACGCTGACGTGAAGTGACGAAATTGTGATTATTTCGATGCCACGATGCAGAAATTGTGACGCGTTTTAATTTGATTTCTGATCTAATTCTTGTAATTGGAATGAAAATAAAATACTCTTTCATGCCTAGGGGCGGAGGATAGGGAAATTCAAAACTAGGGAGATTTTCAAATTGGTGAAAAACGTTCGGCAAGCCTCGGGCATTACCAAATTTGTAAACCCTCAGTGGAATTTCACTATCCTACCTCCCTTGGCATGAAAGATACTCCGGAAAGACACATTACATTCAAATTACTGCAACAACAACAAAATCATACCCAAATACCTGACACATTCTAAAATTATACAACATACCAAAATATCAATAATCAAAATCATGTCTACAAGTAGTTATTTTCTGCGCGGCACTACTATAACAATGCTTAGCAGGGGACAGATAGACTATTTGAATTTTGTATGAATGTTGAACATTTGAGGAAAAAAATATTTTTGGCAAATTCGCGGTTTATTTGGGCTTCCTTTCTATTTCTGCTTCCTTTCGGCTGATTTTAAATAACAATATGTTAGATAACAATCTGTTAGATAACAATATGTGTGAATATTGTCCATATCAACATATGATGCTTGGTTTGGTTTGGTTGAGTTTTACGTTCTAATGACAGCTATGGTAATTTAAGGACGTGCCAGGTTTTGGTGATGGAGGAACACCGGAGTACTCGTTTAAAACCCACCGACCTGCGAACAGTACCTGGCGACTGCCCGACGTAGGTCTCGAACCTGCAACCCAGTGGTGGAGGGCTAGTGAGCCTAGACGGCCAGACGCCTTAAGCACTCGGCCGCCACGCCCCTACATATGTTGTACTTCAATTGATGACGCAATGACTTTTAGAAGTTGCTATACAATTTGTCCAGTCGTGAAGAAGAAGAACTGCTTAAAACACAAAAAGGGCGTATACACATTCCGATACCGACCAATATACCACATACCAAAATAAAATACTCACATACCTAACACATACCAAAGTATATGATACCCAAATGCCGGACATATTTTAGACCATGTTAAATTTGGAAACGTGACTCACAAGACAAATGTTTTATTAACAACAAATGGAGGCACCTGATATTGGAGGCTATACAAATGCTAAAGGATTCTCATAAAAGAAGTCGACTTCATGCATTTATTATGTAACTAAAATTTAGTATTGCAGTTACCATACTTGCCAACTTTTTTAAATTATTCATGAGGGAGAGTATGCTTGCTTAGAGCGGCACACCTGGATAAAACTTGGTTATATACCCTGTAGGGAAGAGTTAACACTTTTAAATGTCATCTTTTGAGCTGTTATCGTCAGATCTTAGAAAAAATTTAAGTAGTTTAGCGAATTCACTGGTTGAAAATACTCAATTTTGGGGTACAAAATCGTGAGTCTCCCTCCAAAATAGGCAGAGTTGGTAGGTCTGAAAAGGTTACATCATCGTTTGGTTTGTAATTATGTGTTTAATTAGTCACTGCTTAATAAAATTTTATTTATGTTACATCGTTACAGGGATATTATTCACAATATCCATTGTAGAGTATATTACATTACATGTATATTTTCTTGGAGGAATGATAGAATCAGCTACCAGAAATACACCCCGAAGGTGTTTTCCTATTTCACAGAATATTACTATAGATCAAAATTCACTGAGGACTTGACATTTACTAACGCATTTATGATTAATTTTTCTAGACTTTTAGAAAAGTAAGTCTAAATACGGTGTATTTTTTTTTCTTTCTGCAATGCTTTTGTTCTATATATGTATACTGGTGCAACAAATTTAAATTTACATATCCTTTTGACACGGCAAGTAATCGGTTTATGAACCTTATGAATGTACTTTCCAAATGAATATGTGAAAGAATATATATTTATATATTTCCTCATATACTTGGTGTCACTTTTAATTCCCTGGACGGCATATGTTGTTACCACCGGCTGAAGTTGAACTTTTAACATTGTTTTCCACCACTCCTGTCGGGAAAGTGTTTGTTCATCACTTTAGCACGCTGCTATTATCTTGTGGTCAACTGTGGTCAAGTGGCGTCAGCTGGTGTCCAGTACCGCTGACCATTACACTGGTCACCAGAATATCATTAACGACAAACTGTCCACTCGAAACACCAGCATAACGATAACATGTTGTTAAGTCTGAATCAATGCAACTGGACATAATACAGCACAGGAAACGGAGCACATAAAATGTCTACGTTGCACACACTTTCTATAAATAGACACAAAGTGAAAGTACAAGTAACGTGACGACAGTGATGATGTCAGTGTTCTACATTTGACCAGGTAGCTCAGTTAGTCAGAACGATTATTTAATGATCGGAGGTCAAGAATTCGAATCCTGGGTCGACCATTTAGGATTTTACACTCGGAACAGTTTTTTTTATTTCATCTTATTAGATTTTGGTTTATTACAGTCATGTCAATTCTTCTTTTTCTTCAGAAATTCAATCATGAGATAAAACGGTTGATATGGCCTTGCCCGGTTCACATGGGATTTGGAAAATGACTCTATTTTTTTTCTTCAATTTATCTAGCCTCTGGCGAATTTAGATGAGAACACTTAAGTGGAAACTAATGCAAAATGATATATGTCTCCATGAAGATAATTCATTCAACTTATTCCTAGAATAAGTCGTTACACTTTTGTATCATCAAATTCCAAAGGTATCGGACCGATTATGGATTAATATAAATATATATATATTATAAATGTTTTCTCTCTCGAGCAAATCGTTTTTAAATCCCCATTCTAATATTCTTTTAGGAATGAAACATAGTTTATCGTGTTTATCAAACAGCCACTGGTCTTATACAAACATTGCTGAAACCATCAAGTATTCTTTATTTTCGTTCGTTTAATTTCCTCGAGGTCAACTGCAAATTAACGAATCGGGAAACGATTCGTTGTGGACCCTAGTGGTTAAGTGAAAGTGTTAGATTCATTTTAACAGTTGCGACCTGAAAGCATTATTTTAAAATAACTGTGTTTTAGTGATGTTGGATAACTACAAGTCTTGGATCGGCGATCTGTAATTACATTAGGAAAACGAGGCAAGCATGGCGTAAATATGATCGTGAATTGATCCACGGGGATCTCTCCTCGGCCAGTCTGTCTCCCTCGGCTACCCAGTGGCCTAATTAACGTCCAAGGTTCATGTCCTACTGCTGATGACTGGACGTTGTCCGGTAATGGTCATCCTCTGTGGACCTTAATTGCTATACTCGTTTAGACGATTACATTTACTGCGGTGTAGTTGATACCTTCGTCCTTCCAGTTGCGCAAAATGCCAACTCATTCATGTTCAAATACAAAATACTTGATTTTATAATCCTGTAAATAGAATATCATTATCAATGTGTTTTTTTTTTTTATCTTTTTGTATACACATGGAACCTATCCAAGAAACATTATTTCATTGACCCGTGTAAATGATGTCATTACGATGTGATAATGTTTGTAGGGTTGCCATGACTTTGCAATGTCACGTGTTCCCCACGTGACCAGGCTTCAGTCGACGTTCATCCAAATTCAACCATCCACGTCCAAAGTGTCCAAGTCGATTCTAGCTGTGCTTCAGTACTTCAAATGGCGGACCGTTACAATGGTTGTCGGTACGTCGGACGTGTGGAACCAGACAGCTTGCAGCCTCCAGCAAATGACGTCAGACCATGACATCAAAGTGACGCAAAAGGTTTACTTTAAGGAGCCTTACCCATCCAACACAAACTTCCCGGCAATTGTAGAGAAAACGTACAGAAGAACAAGAAGTAAATACATTTCACATTATTGATATTAATTTCGAAATAAATGTGTACCATTATATATATAAAAAAAATACGATTTCAATACACAATTTTCAATCGATTAACCCTTGCAATATCCATTTTGATATTTTGCTTCTAGCATGAAATTGTCCATGATGCTTAAGATTTGCACAACAAGTGTACTATCAAAATATCCATGATGCTCCACAATAACACTCTAATTAAAATATTCATTATCCTCTAAAATAGCGATCCCCCAAAATACGCATGAATTTCTAAATAATTTACACGATTAATATAATTTTCATCTTTTAATGTTTCTATGTTAAACTACATGATTTTTCAATGCTTTGGACTGCTTTCAGTTGGCATTCATTGATGCTATGAATGCCAAATCCCATAAGCAATAAGAATGACAAAAGTTGACAACACACGTTTTTACACCGCTACGCAATATAACGTGAATTTGTGTAAGAATGGAGTTTGCCATACTGATGCGAATATTGTTACCTGATCTGTTTTTCAGTTTACATTTTTCTGGGAGATTATTACGCTCTGATCGATTTTGCACGAGCGATTGACCGGAAGCCGGAGACGAACACAGGAGAATATGTCATTATTGCGCGGGCGGCAGACGACCGACCGTATAACACGGAAGACCACAACTTCTTCATTAAAAGTAAGACATCCACCTGTCTGGCAAATTCATAAACGATGCCTCCATTTTATTTATGTCTCTTCTCCAAGAAGTGATATAACGCCTACAGCAACGTCGGGAAAACTGAATATCTTATCCCCCATAAAGACAAGTTTCTCTGTTAAAACTGATAAAGACTAATATCAAAATGTTATTTTTAGGATAAAGCACACGGGAAATTATGCAGACAAAATGGCAGCCCCGAAGCAGGCTGTAGACAAGAATTGTAAATTTTGTAACGTTAAATTAAGGGTTTAATTTCAACATATGTTTCAAAACATTTTAGGAATTGATTTTCATTCTTTTGACATTAGGGAGCACCGATAGCTCCTGAATGGACAAATGAGCCATATTGCGTTGTAAATATTTCTTTCGTTTGGCCTTCTTCCTCGACTTACTCAATTGAATAGTTGCTTCCTCACTTTAAATTTACCTGTGGTTCCAACAAATGATTAGGATTCAAATTGTAAAGGTTTTATAGAGAACCGACAGGAAAGAAATTCAATCACTAAGCATGTTTGATTTTTCGTTTACGTATAGCTCCCTTTGAAGTTAACGTTACGGAGGAGTGTGTATCTGCCTTCCGGTCTGTGCTGCTGTTGGTCCCTAGGGCTCCAAATAACCCTCACTGGGAGACCTTCCTCCAGAACGTCCGGGACCTCAATCATAAGCCACCGATCAATCTGCCACCTCTTCCGCCAATCGTCTCCAAGGTAAGTATGTGATTAATTAAGGAATAACTGTGTTCAATTTGCATAAATCCGCGAAGCGGTTTATGCACCAAAGTGCACACAGTTTGTTGTCAGTATATGCTGTATAACCCTGAAATTCTCCATGGTTATTCCTTATAATTTAATTTAAAAAGACAAAGAATACGTTTGTTTTGTAGTTCATAGTCATTGATTATTAATTCAATTCTGACAAAACGAAATCATTTTGTAAAAAACACGATATTCTGCAGTAATTTCATCTCCAACGAACTTCAACCACCATTACAAATACGGCGCCAAACATTGCGTTATATGACGTCACCAGTTTTTGCTTTGTCTGATTTTAAGGTTATGCGTTATAACCTGTTATAAAAGTCTAGCATTGGGGGAAAAGGCAAAATTAAAATTACACGTATTTAGTATATAATACGTTTTAGTGATGACCGTAACACACGGACACAGGAGGTGACTGCACTTTTATAATTTGGTAATAGATCCAGTATGCCAAAAAGTAATTACACTGCATCATACACGTGCACCTGGTCCGTCCTTCCAGGACTCGTTGTTTATACCAGGGGCCAAAACATTGGAGGTCCAAATTGTCTAAACTACTGTTGAAATAGAGGGGGACGTGCGTAAAACCTCTAAAATCTATAAATTCATTTCAAATTTAATAACTTGAAAAGTGTGTGTATTATGAACCGTACCACTACGCAAAAGATATTTCTGTAAGCAGCAAGTAGTGGCGTCGCAAATCATTTTTCGGGGTATATGCTTACAGAGGGTCGAACGTCCAAGGCGCGTAGCGCCGTAGGAGGATCCCCCCCCCCCATACATGTAGCTGGAACAGAATCTACTAAGCCCTAAAAGCAATCTGCCGTTTTCTGGGAACTCCTTTTAGTCTGATTATCAACAAGTAAAAGCCGAGTTTTTATATGGATAATATAAAATAGTGTATTTCACTTTGTAGTTTTTGATTCACATAAACCTTCGAGATATGTCAATGTGTATAGACTAGAGCATACCAACACTGTTCTATCAGACTAAAATTTACAAGATCTGTACGGACGGTACCTTAATATGATTAAAACAAAAACTCGTGTATGCTTGAGTATACGGACATACATGTATGCTACGCCACTGGCAAGGTTACAGCACAGCACGGGGACCAAAATAACCACCAGTAGAGTCGACTACCTTTTATCTTGAATAATGAATATTTTGAGAACATAAGTGTATGGTGGCAACACACGATACAATAATACACACGTAATTATTTTGTCAGTATGATAAAGTATTGGTCTACAAACATCTTTATTGAGTATTTTGGAGCACATTTCTGTAAAATAAGGATAACCAATTATGTACGACTTCTAGGCGATCAATGTCTGGTCTTCTTATGAAACGTGATTGACACAAGGGCCGATAAAAACCGGATAAAATACCCCTTACTATTACTTACAAATATCCTGCCAAAACCAGTTTGCAGCAAATACTTCGTTTTCAACAAGAAACATTGTCCCATTCATTATGTTTATCGAATTATTTTAAAGGATTTTTATGTGGTTTGATCAGTTTCGCGAGATTTTTGATGCGCGGATATCAGATGTAGTGCCAATTGATTAATTTGCAATTCAATTCGGGGGTTGTATTTAGCATGGCAAAAATTGTTACCGCATAAATCACGAAAAAAATATTTTTACATTAAAAAAAAGCTGCATTTTCTTCCCCAACGACTTCGATCTATGTTGAAAAAATGAAACAGCTACCCACATAGCAAACAATCAAAAAATTATCATGAAAGTTTTTTTCACAATATGTATATGGAGAATTGTATACTCCCCTAGATGTTGCGGAAGATATAGTGACGGGTGCCACGTGCGGTGCAGGAAATAGTTAATCTTTCAGTTTTGCCTGAAGTGTTTCGTTGGAGGTGTATTCTTAATGTTTTAATTTTTGTATCGCTTGTTAGTTTAAGTTTTGTGCTGGTGTATTGATTTTGTAAAGTTCGTATGTTATTTTGTTTATAAATAGCACCACGTGCCTATCTCAGCCGCTTATCTGTACGACGCAGTGATGGTGTTTGCTAAGGCGATGGCCAAAGTCATAGGGATGGGAGGATCTCCACGAAACGGTTCCGCAGTTATACAACAAATCAGAAACAGCAAGTTCCACAGTAAGTCACGTGTACAAATGATCGCATGTCGAATGACGTTGAATCGTTTATAAATCGATAAAGAGTTAAATTGAACGTCTTTTGTACAGACAATATTGTTTAAGTCACGCATAATAACATACTACGTTATTCTGGTATTCTATTTTCAATTTTCTTTGAAACACAGAGAAGTATCGCATGCTGTTTTCTACGTTAACGGCATCCGTAATGGTCATTGTGCTGTCGAGTTGTTAGCGGAGTGGCAGACGTAATTATATCTTACATGTGTAGTTTTTTAATTGATGTATACACTTACATACTAGACTGAAATTAAAGCTTCAATCAAATTTATCACCAGTTTACCTTAGAAGCAACACATTGATAAACGTTGCAGCAATTAGCTTAGTGTAGTTTACTAGAAAATGCTTTATCATCCAACAGGCGCGGCTGTTCGTGCCAGTTTGAATGTATTCATAGCATTACAGATACGTGGGTACATGTAGTAGGCCTGTCATCGATTTCAGACAAGAAGTTCCAAGGAGTAACACATTTTGCCTATTCTTCGTCATTGCTAATCAACAAAACAGTGTTAAGCAAACGACATACTGTTGAACGTAAATTTTACGTAAATGATACATTTTGTTTCTCTTGCCTTAGAAGTAGAGAATGAATTTTAAAACGAGTAGAAACTAATTATCTCCTTATTTATATACTTTTAAGCTAGGCATAGCCTATGTAACTTCACATCATCTAGATACTACACATCAGACATGCTCAAATATCAAGCTGATTATCAAACACAATGTAGCAATCCTGTCCTACATTTTTTAACTACCGGGTATTCAACGAATTTTTTGTTGTTGTTAAATTACTACAGGCAATAATTTGATGGGGGCGAAACTATTTTGGTTTTCATTTCATTTCAAGGATAGTTGCCTAGGTTATACAGTATAAGTTATGGTGTAGACAAGTATTCTTTCATAATAATACTATACGCAAACCAAGGATTATGCTTAAGGTCCGGTACCTAGAGTATGTAACACATCTGTCCTTTCTGTCCCAATTCGTTATTGAACCTATCATTTACGCATCTTGTAAGAAGATAGTAGAAGGTAAACAAATTATGTATGTATACAGACTTGTACTACATTGTTAGCTAAACTTGTTTTCGAGGTTATAGTACATGGAACATGCGCATTTATTCAAGGTTTTGATCTATAGTAACCTTACGATACATTTAAAGTTATGACGTATTATAAAAAAAAAGTATCATCATATGAACATATCCGCCTGGTTATGACATACGCATTTGTGTCGACTGTCCAAGCTTATGGCGTATTGTATCATTATACAATCAAGGATTCCTGATTATGACGTAAGCTTTTTATGTCCAAGACAATATCAATATACAAGACTATGACGTAGTGTATCATCATACGAACACGTCCGCCTGGTTATGACGTAGGCACTTGTGTCCCAAGGATCTGTTTGATGTTCCGACGTAATGTTCCACAATTATGTAACATGTAATCCTGGTTATGAGTACATGTACGCATTTATGTCTTAAACAGGTATACAAGGATATGACGTGTACATCGATGCGTTCGGTGATGCTGAGGGAAACTATTCCGTCCTAAGTCTTACCAGTGAGTTCCCAGGTCGCTTGGAACAAGTCGGCGACTTCAAAATGATGTCTGACGAGCTTGCTTATCCGGTATGTAAAATCCTTAATTTGTTGGCTAGATAATGACGTCATTTCCAGTTTCAGCTTATTTTAAACCATGTCATATATGTATAAAATATAGATTATTATTAATGTGCAATAGTGGTATTTGTTTGATAATGCAGCCAAATCGTCCATTTTGATTTTGGAGGCAAGACAGTTCTGCATCCGGAATCATTAGTGAGTCCTCACAAATATTTGTTGGACCCTTAAACAAAGTGGGGAACTTGGCTTTGCTGCGTTTCTTCCCTTCCTTCCGCCTACTGATTTTCTGATTTTTTTCTCAGGAACTTCTGGCGTGATACTTACGAAGGATGTAGATATGTGTAACGCGCGGTTTCATGTTTCTTTCGGTCATCAGACATGTCCGTAGTTGTTTATAATTGATTGCAAAATCTATGAGTGTACGCCAAGGTGATGCCAACAGTCCCTCTCTTTTTATAATTTTGCTCCATCTTAGTTAATGCGAATTCTTTCCAATGCATCATTTGCACCTACATAGGCAGTTTGGAGGACTTTTGTAACATGTTATATCAAATTTTGACCAAGTCTCAGACTACCTCGTGATACGCGGTCATAGTGTGTTGTCGTTCGGCATATGCCGTACTCTCAACGCCAAATCCAGTGCTTAATTGTGTAATGTTCGTTTGCAATTGTTCTGTGTCATAGCAAGGACGACTGCACTTTGTTGAAAATTATCAATCTAGGAATCAATGTTTTTTGGATCGTTTTTACCATTAATGCAATCTCAATTTAATGTTTTTGGAATTCACTAATGCAATTTTTTTTAATTTTTTTTTAACATTTTCCCATTAATGCAATCTGAAAATCAATATTTCTCGAAATAACAATATAACACAATAAGGACGTTTGATCCACAAGTTCAATATCTCATATCTCAAACGAACATCAGTCACAACAATGACAAGACTCGGGTTTTTGAATTACATCTCTCTATTAGCGATGGTTTGGTTAAATGACAGACTCGGCTAAAACTCATCGGTCTTCGACCCATTACAAAATACATTACTAGAAAACAATAACTGTGCATAGATTTTTTTTTTTTTTAAACATTAACTTTAAAAAGTACAGAAACTATAATATAATGACGTCTTGACCTCTGGCGGTCCATTGTGTTACCAAACTGCTGGATACGACTCCGTAATGCCATAGATGAATTTGTTTTTCCCTTGTTCGTCTTGGATGTAAAGATATACCCAACAGTAACAAAGTCGGTAAAGTTTATCAAACGTACTTGGTAGCAGCGAAAAATGCAAAAAGGACAAAATAAGCACGTACAGAAAACGCATTCAACTGTGAAGATTGATAAATAGTGTAAACATGTTATCAATGTCAAGTTTCACATTGAAAAACCCATTGTAACGTTGTATAGTATATTTTTATGTTTTTTCGTTAGCATACCATTATTTTGTTGCTGTGATTTCGTGTTTCACAAGTATACGCCAGACTTTATTTATAGCTCTAAGCTCAAGTGTCACCAGAGAAGTAGCACCTGCATGCGAATAAACTTGTCAATGTTAGACGAAAGCTTTGAAAATAAATTGATACAACAGTGCTGTAAAAATCTAATAAAGTTGTTTTTCTGCTGGTGTCGATCTGATAATAGCTATATCAGGAAAACAATTGAATGTCACATGAAGACAATACAAATCCACGCAAACTCTAAAAAACTCCCGATAGGTCCATTCATTTTCCATAAAAGCATTAAGACGATGGAGTGGAGACGTCTGTGGAAAAAAACACGCTGTATAATTATTATTATACTCGTCAGTAGCCTTGACGATAGCCTTATTGCTCCCGGAATACACATACATCAGGTTACAGTTTATAACATGAACGGAACGCTGAACCCATTTAATTTACTCCGCTCGATCACACTCGGGGGACAAATGTAGTGACGCAAGCAAGATTCTCAGACTGGTGCTGATCAAAAATACTCATCTATCATCATTGCCGACGCACACTGCATGTACCTCTAGCATACGATTCTTTCTGTTTTAAGAACGGTTTCTTCCATTTTGTTGTTCATCATATACTTTCAGGTTTAATAATTCGGCGAGTGTAAGACTTGGTCGATTGTACTTTGTCATGTTATTATGAGGAAAAACAAACCAATAAATAATTTCTTCTTCCATTAGTTCGTCAACAAACTCATCGTAAAACGCTGCTGACGCTGTTTCACTCTAGCCACAATGTATGATGTCCGTTAATGGGCAGTAGGTGTAGTAATTGTGCTCGCAGATGGTTAAAGAACGGATTTTAAACCAAATAACGGAAACGGTGCCAGTGGTGGGATGAGTTGTCTATTTGTATAGAAGCTAATAATTCTCTGTGACACTTGCAGACAGCGAGCGTGATATCCTATTAGACTCCTACTTAACTTAACCTTATATATTGTAAAACATCTTGGTGTTACATCACTGGTAGGTGGCTTGGAGGAAAGGGATTTCTCCGGAAAACATTCTGATTTTAGTTTGTTGCGCACATTTTTAAACCAGTGTAAACGGCGGGAGACCGTATCTTAAGAGACTTCACTGAAACCTATAAACATGTATGTGACAATTTTTTTAACCTATATGCTAAAAATAAATTGCTATGCAGTCGTAAAAGTACACTGTTCTTTCATATCATTTTAAAAGAACATTAATGATCGGTTTTTGATAGATACTTCAATCCGGTTTTCTATGATTCGGTCATCATACGGCAAGCATTGTAGAATTCGATCAGATATCTCTTGATTTTTTTATTTCCTTTATTTCTAAATGACAGAATATCATTTTATATGAAAGCATGAAGGTATTTTCGTACTATTTCTAGAAAAATAATATTAAGAAAACTGGAAAAAAGCTTTAGGACTACGTCTTCTTATTATCTGTTTTGCACTAGATGTCAAAATAGCTGTTAAATCAGATTATGATTGACTCTCTGTTTAAGATAACATGATGTAAATTCAATAAGTCTCCTTAAAGTAATTTTCGCAATATGCCGAAATTTTTGATACAATCAGTCAAAGACCATCGTTACCTACAGATAAATACTATCGTTATATGTTCAGGTTTGAATGCATTAAGAGGCATGCTGGTGGTATTCTAAAAAAAAATCAACAATATTTCATAATCAACACACAAAGATGCAGTGCAGATGTACTATTATACAGCTTATCTCATTGTATATTAAAATCGATGTGTCTAGAGCTGTTCCGAAGAGAAGCACTAGTATCGGATGTAGGTTGAAGTTGGTTTATAAGGCCATTTGCATTGAACGATTTTCTTTCCAGAAGAAAAACAAAACACAAATTTGTGGAAAGACTGTTAATCGCATTTGTATAATAAAAGAGGAAACGGAGGCATTTTCAATATTTTCTCATTGTTTTATCAATTTAAAACTATCAGCTTTTTCTATTTTTTAAACAACTTTGACATTTTCATATGTTTAATGGAACATATATACCCTGTGATCAATAACTTTAAATTGGTATTTACGATAAAATATAATATATTTTTAAACCTTTTTTGGTTGTTTTTTTCCAATTTTTACCAATTAACGTTTTAGTTTTAACTATTACGGTGTTTTTGTTTTTATTTTTGTATTCTTTGCCCTCAACCATCGATGAACAATATATGTACTAGTATTTCACCATGTGGTCTTTCATGACCTTACTGTGCTGTTAGATATTTAATATTAAACAAATTAAAACGTATCTTTTTAATGATATTTTTTATGATCTTCCAGTGTTAAACCTTTGAATGTCTGGTGACTTTTATGTCTGTATGTGTTCGATTTCATCTCGTGATTTTTGTTAGTGACATACTTTACAAAAATCCTGCATCATTATTAGAATGTTATTATTCTTAACAATAAAGATGAGAAGGATCGATCTAGCAGTAGATACTGTAAAAGTGGAAATTTTCGCTGTGTGGAAATGTTCGCGCGTTTTTCGCGTTGAGTAAATTACCGCGAACATATCCGCACGCAAATACATATGTATAGATTATATAGATTAACGATCTATAGGATATTAGTACATGTATTTCTAAACCATGGCCAACCCGAAAATGTCTGTTTGAAGAGTCGTAACGCGAATATTTCCTCCCGCGAAAATGTCCTCTTTTTCAGTATGATAAGACTCCTTTCTGTAATTCTTGTGCTTGATAATTTTTTTTGTTCAATTCAATATCAAGATTATAGTTACAATGTAATCTACATGCTATTTCTTCCTATAGATTTGATAGCGTTATTTAAAATCGGGACATTGTATTAATTACACCCTTCATTGACCGACAACAGATGCAAACCTGTTAGGTTTTCCCCTGATTACTTTCGGTTAAATACTTCTTTGAAATTGATAAATCATCTTGCCACTTCAGGACTTTTATCTCAAGCATGATATCAACTGGCAATTGGGAAGAGTTCCCCGAGACGAGCCAGAATGTGGATTTGACGAGGAGCGCTGTCAGTACGAGCCAGGTAGGTTATCATTCTTACTCTCTTCGCCCTCTCCTAAGACACAGAGAAACCACCGGCGCTTCACGACCGGCTCTAATGATAGCGCATCATGTGTAATCTTTCAAATCACGTCATCAGTTTTCATTTCAGATGTCACTTCAGTCTCAAAATAAAAGTCGGGTCTGGTAATTAATGTGTCCCTGATAAAACACAGACCAGCAGAGGTGAATTGGCACTGCTAGCGAAATGTTTGATTTTCGTGCCGTTTCAGACTTCATTAGTTTCGTAAATGGCAATATTTTGGATCTTGGCTGGCACGTGCAAACGCACGAGTGTTATTCAATAGCAACATTTTGCACAAGGAAATTTTTGAAGGACGATTATTTTGAGTATAAGACATACATGTATCACCGATGAGTTACGGACGTGCATACAGAGATCTTGACATACGTTATACAATATACATGGAGATCGGATGAATCTTCATGTTTATTGCATAACGTATATCAAGATCTCTGTAACGTATATCAAGATCTCTGTAACATATATCAAGATCTCTGTAACATATATCAAGATCTCTGGAAC